ACCGGGAAGCAGTGGAAGAAGAAAACTATTCGGGAATCCGAACGACTGCAGCCGAGACGTAGGCAGGCAGCCGTAGCTGGGAGAAGTCGACGGCCGGGAGACCGACTCCAACCCTACAAGAAGTCGAGGAGGAGCACGGACCTGCAGTGAAAAGGCACGGAGACGACGCGCTTATGGTGGGACGTTGATTGAGTTCCTGGAGGACACGACAGTGTGTGTGTGGGGGCGTTCCCTACACGAGGCAGGAGCCAGGACCAGGAGCTACAACTCAACTCTCACCGGAGGATAGGTGGAAGTAGGTGATTCTAGTTTCCCTCCCAATTCCCCTTTAGTCAGCTATATTATTTAGCCTGAGTATTTTGTATGTCGTGAGCAAGGCTCACCTATGTCACAGTAAGGCACCAGTGTGCAGAGTGGTACTATAAAGAGTACTCACGATATTTATGATTATTAATGGTGTGTACAGGCACCCAGAGTAATTGATGAATTTACTGTGTTGACAATGTCTTTCATGAGACTTTAATAAGATCATTTAGTGAGAGAATATTGTGACGATAATCTCCTTCAAGAGATTGAGCCTGCTCTTCTCTCCATAATTACGTCGTTGAAATTATATAATACTACTATGGAAGAAATGTCCAACAACGACAACAACACCAGCAAGGCTTGCCAGAGCGCAAAACGTTGCAGCCAGAGACACCTGTTCAGACTCAAACCGCCAAACTACTCGTTGATCGCTACCGGCCCCGCTGATTGGTCGCCGGTCTGGCTGCACCTGCACTCGCCCCCCCATACTACTTGATGTCTGGGGTCGCCACGACCTCAGACCTCAGAATATTCAGTGCTTTCGTGGTTATCACTCCTCCCGGCTAGACGTTAGCGTGTACTGAGAGAGGTGGTAGCTTAAAGCCAATATTCCAGCACCTTCCCTTTATTTTTGTATTGCACTTCTTGTTATTTTGTCTTAACGTAACTTTTCATTGTCATTTAATTATTCTTATTATTTTGATTGATTGATTTTATTATACGAATTTGTTTGTCCATTTTTTCATGTTTTGATTTATTTAACGTAATTAAAATTTCATTGTTAAAGTTTACTTGTGTTTTGTGTGTCTTCTCCTTACCTTACCACAGACGAAGTTCCAGTTTTTCTATTTTTTTTTTTATAACTATGTGACGAGGCCATACCCCTAGCCTTAACAGCCGAACACCAACGCGTTACCGTCACAATATATATATAATTATGCCAGTGTTTGGAGTTAGGCTATGTGCCCAGTAAATATGTTATTACCATTATTGATGTCCGACTCATCCATTTATATATATATATGTCTATGCTCGTGTATTGAATAATCATTCATGTGTGCAGTGATTAATTGTGTTATCGCCCACAGAAGGAATTACTGAGAACTCCAGTGATATATACTTGCATACGTTATCATTAAATGAAGGGCAGTGTGTAATACCATGACGGTGAATTATTGTCACCTTTAATATAGAAATGTTTGATTGAGCCCAAGATCAGTGTAGCGAAGTATTTACGTGCTATTGTCGCAAATATTGTGTGTTCGAACTTCTAGTGATCTTTGAGAACTTAAAGAAATTGGCGCGTCACGCCAAGCAAACAGATAAAGTAACATTTGCGCGGGGGTAGTCGCCCGGCTGATTTTGACATTGACGTGAGGGGGGAGCGTTGCCAGCTTAGTGAGTTCATATTATATGTGGGAACGAACAACTCCCGCCTGAAACAGCTGTTTGCTTATTGATATAATCTTGTGATGTCTTTGAATGAGTTTTAAGTAAAATACAAAGTACATTGGTGTTTATATCATTCCCTCCATATTTCTTGTGGCTATATAATACCTGAAAGCAGAGAGTGATAGAAGTAAATACCTGCCTGATATCAGATCTATTGAGTGTGTTCTTACCACTGTTACCACAATTCAACAAAACCACTGACGTGTTACTGGACACCGAAAACACCAGTTGGCGACCTTGTGGTTAGTAGTAGAGCCCTATGTTGGGGCAGGCATACAACAGTTAAGTGAACAAGTTGTGTTCCCACTCCTTCTCGATCAGAGGCCGGTTGGGATTGACTGGGATACTCTCCTGGCGTACAGTGGCGCCGCGAGGATAGAGTGAAGACCCGCAGGGCTACGGTGAGTGACCTTGAGTATACCATTGCTCACCCGAGGAACCCCGACAGTATATAGTGTAATAACTGCAAAACTATTTGTTTATTGTTTTATGAACGTAATAATTGAACCACTAACAGGAACACCATACTTTTGAGTATAACGATGATTCACACATTTTATTATAAAAATCTATCATACTACACACTATTGAATAATATTACTGCAAAAAACTAAGAAAAAATCAATCAGACATTGAAATAATTAGGTAATAATATTTTTGTAGCAACTCTCACCTATCAGCTCAGGTGACGCTGACCGCCTCTGACAACTGCTCTGTCAACGCCCACATTTTGCCAGATTTCCTCGGCTTATTGCGCCCAAAATATGTCGCCTACGATTTTATTTTTATTTTTTCCCGTGCTCAAGGAACACAAATTAACATTTTTAGAAGACAAAAAAAATTTGTAAATTTTTTTTCTTGTGCACAAGGGAGTAAATCTCCTCAGAACCCCTTAGCAGCTTAAGGGTTAAATGTAAAGTGATCACAGGCCATCACTCCCTGTGTCTCTGTGAGGGGACCAGGTTCTGGCTTGTGTTCCCCCGGTAGGGAAAAAGAACTCTGCAGCTGATGGCACTAGGTAGTATGGCACTTAATCAGTGATGATAGCTTCAGGGAGCTTCCAGGGCTCCCCACAGAAAATAAATAAAATAATGAAATGCTGTATTAACCCTTAAATGGCGCATGGCTATATACCATTTGACACCCACAGGCGCATAAAAAAAAAAAAAAAAAAAAAAATCTTTTTCTTCCCAACCTATTAATTTGGGTTCACTGATCATGGGAAAAATAATAAAAAAAATCGTAAGTGGCATATATTGCCCGCTATAGGGCGGGGAAGTCTGGCAAAAAACAGGCGCTGACTCAGCGTGCGTCCCAGGCGGTCTGTTGCTCGCCAGCTGTCAGGCCGGAGTTGCCACAAAGAGATAATTACCTAATTATTTCAATGTCTCTGATTGATTTTTTCGTAGTTTTTTGCTGTAATATTATTCAATAGTGTGTAGTGTGATATATTTATAAAATAAAACGAGTGAATCATCGCTGTACTCAGAAATACGGTGTGCATATTGTTGATTCAATTATGTTCATCAAACAGTGAACAAATATTTTGTTGGTTATTACACTATATACACAGGTTATATATAAGTATCTGCATGTTTTGTTCACCATAACGAACCACTAAGTTGCTATTATGAGTCAAAAAGTAACGAGGAGTGACCGCCAACATCAGCCAGCCACTCACTCACTCCCTCAACACCTCACTCGCCCACATTCTCATCCCACCATACTGTTTTTGTTTTTATTCACTATATACAGACGTTATATAAAAGTACAGTATCTACATTCGTGTTCACCATAACGAACCACTAAACTGGCATGCTGAGTGGCAGTGCCAGTGGCAGCCCGCCACTGGCTGCTACTTCCTCCCTCCCTCAAGTCACCTGACTCACCCACATTCTCCTCCCACAATACTGTTTTTGCTTTTATTCACTATATACAGATGCTACATATAAGTATCTATATTCATGTTCACCATTACTAACCACTAAGTTGCTTGGCCGAGTGGCAGTGGCAGCCCGCCTCTGGCTGCCACTCCCTCCCTCACCTCACCTGACGTGCCACCATTCTCCTCCCACCATACTGTTTTTGCTTTTATATACAGATGTTATATATAAGTATTTACATGTTTTGTTCACCATAATTGTACATCTAAGCTTGTATGGTGAGTAAAGGCCCAAAGACGTTGCTATTCACACAGTCAGCTGGTGCCCTCAAGGCCAGACGCACTAATATTTCTCCTCCAACAATACTGTTTGTGGTGTTATTACGCTATACACACACATTATATATAAATATCTACCTGTTTTATTCACCATACTTGTACAAGTAAACTGGTATGGTGCCCAAAGACCATCGTGGTCACCAGTAAACAACATGATAAGTCGTGCAGACGACGCCACCGCCCTCACCAAAATGGCGGCTCCCAATCTACTCTTCTTGCTGTTTATACCCTCTATACACACGTTATATATAAGTATCTACATTTGTGTTCACCATAGCGAACCACTAAGCTGGTATGGTGAGTGCAGTCAATAAAAGGTGGCCACACACAGTCAGAAGACAACGCCACCACCCTCCCTCCCACAGCATTACTCCTCCCTCCATGGAGCACAGCGCCAAATATCACCACAATCCTGCTATTATCAGAACCCTGGTCAGTTTTATCACAGTCACGGGTCTTCTGTAATAATATCATCACTACATAATAGCATGAACAAGTATATTATGGCATTTTTAGGCGATGCTGTGGTCACAAGCTGAACAGCAGTGCTGTGAGCTCATGCTGCGTGTATCAGGCTTGGTAGCTCACTCAATACTGAGGCCCCTAACACCCGGGAATTTGGCTCACGATTTAAACAAAAAATGGCGTCTGTTTACAAGAGCCCTGATGAAGGTGTGGTGAACCCCATGTATCCGTGGGCCGTTTAAATCTTGCGTAGTACTCCAAAGCATCATATGATGTGATGTGCAATTTACTGCAAGTCGGTCAAAGCATCATATGATGCGATGCGCAATTTTAAGGTTAATATAGGCAGTCAAGTCAGTGTACCAAACCAGCTTGGTGATGCTGACTACACATTCCAGTAAATGAAGATTTTGCCTACTAGCCAATTATTTCTGGCTCTAAAATGGGGTTCTAATTCAATGTGATCCATTCGAGCAAGATCACATAGTAGCACATTTTAGGACAACTTAATTTGTGAAAAACAAGCACCAAAAACATACTTCTCAGTGGAACTTACTGTAGAAGTTCCCCGAGACAGACTTACGCAAGCCTTCTGTAATGGTTGAGCCATTCTTCTGTCATTTGAGCTACTGCTAGTGGTTTCTTAGTGAGATGCTGCTGGGCCACCAGTACGCCTCCCTCGCTCACACACACCTCCAGCCATTGTCTTAGTAATGTTTCCTCACAACCAACCTGAGAGAGAACAACACAATTATTAAACATACTAAACAATCTCCAATGATAATGGAGTGGAATGTTAGTTTCCTAGATTCTGTTTTATGGTGTTGACATGTTTGATAGTCACAGATTTGATACAACACAGTATCTTCTAAAGGTTTTTCTTCTTCTTTGATAAGATTACATCTCTAAAGGTTATGAGATGTTGCTATAGGTTCCTGTAGGTGATGGAAGCCTTGTTAATACTGTATTTTCTACGTACCAAGCATACTTATCTTCATAAAGACTCATATCGAGCTTCCTCGGTGTTTAACCTAAGGGTACACTTTGTCACAATTAATACAAAATACAGTGTAAACCCCTACTGTGATTATTTTTTCTTTTCTTCTGGAGGGGCTGAACGGTGGCTCTCCATTGCTAATTGCACTGTGATAACTCCATACACACAAGTCATATCAGCCCTAGAAGTCCTTAATAGGCTACTGGAACCAGAAACCAAAACCTGGCCCCCCTCATAGAGGTACAGGGAATTCATGATCACCCATAACCAAGGAAACACACCCTCAGAATGGAAGGGAAGCAAAACAGATTCTAGCAAGGTTCCTAGAAAGTAGCAAACACTCCACCCAGTAATTAGGTCCAACCTATCTCCCGAGTTACAGCTGACCACTGACAGGTGGCAGCATGATGGGGGCTGCTAGCTCCCCATGTCAATAATGACTCCTTGAGTCCCCAGCTCTTTGGCTCCTACATTTTCTAGATAAGTACTGGCCATTCTTTGGGTTTTATCTGGTGGGGGCTGCCTTTGCTCGAGTGTCATTTTAATATATATATATATATATATATATATATATATATATATATATATATATATATATATATATATATATATATATATATATATATATATATATATATATATATATATATATATATATATATATATATATATATATATATATATATATATATATATATATATATATATATATATATATATACAGTATATATATATATATACATATATATATATATATATATACAGTATATATATATATACAGTATATATATATATATATATATATATATATATATATACAGTATATATATATATACAGTATATATATATATATACAGTATATATATATATATATACAGTATATATATATATATACAGTATATATATATATATACAGTATATATATATATATACAGTATATATATAAATAATATATATATGCAAATGTTTACAAATCTCACTTACTGTTTGAAGTCTGGAAACTGTTCATTTTCCTGTACAATTTCCTAGGTACTTGCTGATGTTGCCCCTGCCCTGATAGGGTTGCTTCCCTGGTGGGCTTGTACGGCTTTCACCTGCCTCCCATAGAGGCCAGCCTCCTAGGGAGGATGCCTCAATGTGAGAGAGTGATCTTTCCGTTTTCTACCGCTGACTCCAAGCTGCATGTTGCCAAGCTATTGCATGTGCCTGAGTTGAGAAACTGATCCTATGCTCTCATAGTGCACAGGCAAGTGCACAAAGGCTCTCTCTCTTGGTACTGGACCAAAGCTTAGGACATTCCATGTGAATTCACCAAAGGCCTCCCACTCAACCCTTTCTAAATCTAATGAAATTTTGTAATAAAATAGCCCTAGATCCCAAATGAAATTGTGCAAAATATTAGAGCTGAATCTGCTTTGGTTCTTAAATAACAGGTCCATGTTCAATGGGCTCTCATCCTGTTAATGCGTACATACCGTAAAAAGGGCCAACTTTGACCCCTTTATCAAATCACGTCTAGTGCTCAGAGGTGTGAAATTTGGCATACCAGGACATCTAGTGGTGCGGAATACAGCAGCGTAATCATCACGACTGCTAGCAAATTGATGTCCAAACTGATTGGAAAAATTTTAAGCTTCATTGGGTAGAAAGTTTTTGGGTGGGATTCAGAATTATTATTAACCCTTGAATGGCGCTAGGCTATTTAGCATTTGTCACCCACCGGTGCATACCAAAAAAAAAAAAAAAACAGCGTTGAATGTAATAAAACGTCATTTTATGGGTTTATGGGTGAGTCCCGGAGGCTCCCCGGAGCTATCCAGGTTGAATGGATATGTATAACTTTCTGGCATCAGTCAATGCATGGAGTTCTTGCCTACCGGGGACTATGAGCCAGAACCTGGCCCCCTCTAGAGAGGCACGAGGAGCAATGGCCTATAGAGACCCCCTGTATGATTGGGAGCATTCTATGTCTGCCATCGACTGGGATAGGCACCCAGAAAGGTAGGCGCCCCAAAACAAACCCCTATTCTGGTAAACTATTGCAACCAAAGACCGAACAGGTGGACAGAACTCCCCAAACGAAAATTAGCTAACCAGCATGACTTCATCATGTTGCTGCGCCGCCTTCTGCGCAACCCCCCCTCCCCGGGAGAAAGGGGGAGCCCCAGACCCCACCGTTGGCGACCCAATCAATAGTTCTTAGGCTGGATGTCAAAAACGCGAAAAACACCGCCGACCGGGAGGGAGGGAGGGAGGGATGCAGGGAGCCTCCGGAACTCGCCCAGAAAATGGCGTTTCATTACATTCAACACTGGTTTTCTGGGAAGAGCCCCGTTGGCTCCCCAGAGCTAACTACCCAAAGATAAGGAAAAACCAGGGACTTACCCGGATGGTGGTCCGTCCTCACTCCTCAATACGAAGTCGAGACAACTGGCTGCAACCGCCGACCCAAAGCAACGCAGGCCCAATGAGGCCCAGGAACATTCACCAGGTAGCGAGCAGCCAGGACCCTGTTCGATCTCCAAAAACCCCGGGCCCGAATGTCCACCCTAGACATGTTGCTACAGACAGCCGCCAAAGCAGCAAATTTACGAATGTCATGGGCCCGGGGAAAAACCGCAGGCTGGCTACACTTAATAACCCTGCGGACAACCTGAGAGACCTGAGCCCGGGAATAGGGAAGAAGGGAAACCGGATCAACCCAGAGAGCATCCCCAGCAACTGAAGCCGTAGCGCGCAAATAACGGCGGAGAGCCGCAACCGGACACAACACATGATGCACCCCCGGCCTGACCAACCAAGCATCAACAACCCACAGCCCCCCTCTGGAACACAGCCGTCTCATTCTTCGCCAGAAAAGAGGGAGACGGCTGCAAGCGAACATAACGACCACCAGGACCGAAAGAGCAGAAACCTCGGCGCCGGAGGAGAGCATGAAGCTCTCCAACCTGACCCCCCTAGGCCAGTGCCAACAGGAAAAGAGCCTTAGAAAAACAATCCCGAACAGAAGGGGCCACAACAAACCGAGGCAGAGAGAAATGAGAGCACGCGGTCCAAAAACCAAGACAGCTCAGGTGGCGTATGGGCAGGCCAGAGGTGAAACAACGTACGAGACAACTTGCGAAACGGGGCGGAAGTAACATCAACACCGAAAGCAAGCTGAAGCGGCTCAGCCAACGCCGCACGATACAAAGCAATAGTATTCGGCATAAGATGACGGTCCTGAAACAACCGAGAGAGAAAGGACAGAAGAACCCTATCAGAGACCGAAGAACACCGACACAAAGATAGGAAAAACCTGAAGGACCGCCAGGACACCTCATACTGCCGCTGAGACGAAGCACGCAGGTGGGAGACCAGCAACGAAGCCACCTGCGCACCATACAAGGAATGATAAACACGAGTCAAAAACACCAGACGTGAAGACTCGAGGAGAAGATCGAACCAGCCTCGTACAGGGCTGGACCGATCTGCTGAAAGAGGCGGAGCCGCTGGAAAACCCTCGGGTTCGGACACCAAGCCAGCAGCGCCTGAAACCAAGGCTGGGCCGGCCACCAAGGAGCCAGAAGGACAACTCGACCTCGGTAAATCTCCAAGCGAGTCAGGACCTGGAGCAACAGCGGAACCGGGGGAAAGAGGTACAGGTAACCTCACCTCGCCCAGTCCTGCCTGAAGGCGTCGACCACGACGGCTTCGCAGTCGGGAAAGGGCGCCACGTATACCGGGAGACGCCTTGACCATGCCGACGCGAAGAGATCCACGTCCGGAGTCCCGAACGTCCGGCACAGCCAACTGAAGGAGTCGGCATCGACCGTCCATTCCGTAGAAAGGGGACGGAACTGGGACAGGCCGTCCGCCAAGACGTTGGACACCCCCTGGACATGAACCGCCAGGAGAGCCAAACCCCGAGAACTCAGCAGACGAGTAACCCGAAGCGACCAGCCCCAAAGAGCCAAGGACCACATCGAACCCCCGCGATTCAAACAATGAACCACTGGGGAGCAGTCCGAATGGAGCCTGATCGTCGATCCGCAAGCGACTCGAATCCTCTGAAGTGACATCCACACCGCCACGAACTCCCGTATCATGCTGTGAACCCAACGGAAGGACGGACCCCACTGCCCCTGGCCGGCCTGGTGAGCACTGGTCACAAAACCCCAGCCAAGAGATGACAAGTCCGTGTACACATCGAACAAGGGTTCGGGAAGGCACCAAGGCACCGAACCCTGAAAAACCGGAAGCCGGCGACGCAGCAACAAACGCAAAGCCCCCGGAGGCCAAACCCAACGATCGCGAGAGAGGCGGAAGGGCCGGCCCCAAAGGAGCCAGAACAGCCGACGAAGCCATACCCGACGAAGCCACACCCGACCCGGCGGGTAGGCCATCATGGTAAAGTTCAGGCTCCCGCACAAACTCTCGAGCAACCGCCTCGTGACCCGGGAACCCCTCAGAAATGGGCAAAGGCGGGACCGCAGGCGCAAGAGAGCAGCTGGAGGAAGGGAGAAGAAAGCAGCGCGAGCATCCCAAACCAGACCCAGCCAAGACCGAACCAGAGAGGGAACCAGATGGGACTTCCTCCAGTTCACCAAGAACCCAAACCCGGTGAGCTGGGAAAGAACCAAATCTCTGGCGAGCAGACACGAGGACTGTCTGGGAACCCAAACCAGCCAGTCGTCGAGATAGGCCAGCACCCGAACACCTAGCAGATGCAGGCGGGTCACCACGACCTGAGTAA